ATAAAGAAGAGGAAAATCTCCTTCCTCTGACCCGTTTGTGATTCCCACTGGGCTTTGACTGACTTGGGTATCCCTGTAACACCGATGCTCACCTGAACCAAAGGCACAATTCCAAGTGATTGGGGTTGGGGGAAAGTGTCCTGTTGCTTCATGGCCTCTTGGACTTCTGTCAGAACGAGCATTTGTGACAGGGGGGAAACTATTGGTCTCTTCTCAACGAGGCTTTGGTAGACTTCGCTTTGGCCAACTTAATTCCTCCTTCCTCCTTCCTCCAGCAACAGCGTGAAGAAGTCTCAGCCACCACTTCCCGTTTCCAAGATTGATGACAGACTGGAGCAGTACACTCATGCTATTGAGGTGATGCTCCCACTCGCATAGGTGGCATGCTCTCTATCCCAGCCCCTGTATCCTCTCTGTTCTCATTGGATAGTGCTCACTCTCTCTGGCTCTTGTAGATTCTGCTGCTGTTGGCTCTAAAAATAGGAGAGATTGAGCCTGATCTACCTAAATCCTTCCATGCTCTTAAAATGAAGATAATGAATCTTGCCACTTTTGAGCAGGAGCACTGGAGATGTGAACATGCCATATTCTCCTACCTTCTGACCTTCAAATAGGGCTGTCTTCCCTGTACCTGTCTGTCCTCACTGGGCACACTGTTCTTCTGTTTATTAGCCTTCCTGTTCTTATTTGTTTCTGCCCCTTGACTCTGTGGGTTAGTGTATCCATCTGGGCATGTGAATCTACAATCTCCGGCCCCCAATAACTGATTCACAGAAAAATCTGCCAAGTGGTCAGGATGCCTTCACTTTGATTTGCTTCCTTTCCAGACATCCGGGAAGGCTCAGAAACTCGTCCGCCAGTCTTCCCTTGAACTTGCCACCACAAGCATGGTGGTAGCCAGCACAAAAAGCCTCTGGGAGACAGGAGAGGTTGCAACTCAGTCCTCTAAGTCCCCATCCTGCAAGGTAGGATTGCTGAGCCTACTATGCCTAGCCAACTCTACTGCAGAGAGAAGGGGTACAGCTCTCTGTTTAATATTGGAGAGCTGCCCCCTGTGTCTAACAGCATACCCTTGAGAGAGAATATTTATCCTGCTGCATGGTTGAGTGGGTTTACTGAAATGATTTAGCTGCATCGCACCATGGAGTAGGGACTTGAACAGACAGTGGCATCGGGAGTAAAAATGCGAGATTAAAGCTCCATTCTTCCCCTTTTTCTGTTGACCTCCATGTTAACTTTTGAATGCTCTGTCTTGACTTCCTACAGTTGACGAAAGCTTTGTCTGTACCTTGAATTAGCCCCAGTCACAACACTGCAGACACCAAGGAAACTGGCTGGGTTTCTCCTTGCTTGTAATGGAATGTAAGGGAACTGCTGGAAACAGTTCTTGCCTTGTTGGCATTAGGAGTCAACCCTACTTGCTGTGTGTTGATGGGCTCAGTGGGATCTAATCCAAAGTACAGACAAGTTGTAAATTCTATACAATGAAAAGAAACTATTCTTCATTTCTAGTAACTTTTTTCATTTTCTGGTTCAAGTGCTGGCACAATGCTGCAATATGGAGGCTGAAAGTGCTGCAAACCAAAATGTCAAAAAAGCCAACAGCCAAAAAAGCTGTTTCACTTTCTATGGAAAAACTTTTCCATCAATACTTGATATTGTCAGGAAAAGATTTACAATATTTACATCTTGTTCCTCGAATCGGTGTCTTGTGAACCATCCATCAATACTTGGTACTTTAAGAAAAGGGCATCTCAAACCCCTGTGCCTGTAGCCATGTTCCTGCCCAGTGTGACTCAACTTGGATACATAGCCAAATACCATAGTTATTAGGCAGGTGGCTTCAGTAAATGTGATGTGAACAACGGCCAGTTTCAACAGTGTTGGTGGTAGGGTACTGAGATGTGTTCTTGTGTCCTCAGGATATCGTGGCAGGAGACATTGTGAGTAAGCGAAGCCTGTGGGAACAGAAAGGGGGCACAAAAACTGAAGCCAACGCCAAGGTAAGTCGCTTCTCCCTTGGTGCCTGTGTCTAGCACTTGCATTTGGGTATTGTGGTAGTGTTTGTTCAACAGACTTCTCTTAGATCAGAGGAAGCGAGAAAGAAGGATGCTTGTATAGTGAAGCATAGATTGGGGCTGCCTGCTAACAGAAGCACAGGCCTAGGAGATAGTGACAGGAAGGCTATGGAGGCTTACTCTCCTCTTCTAAATGTATCTATTATAATAAACATGCTCACTAATATAATAGTGGGCTTAGGCCAAAGCCCAAGTCCTCCCGCACCTCCCCATCTGATATCATTTTGCATTTGGATTGAAATTCTGCAGTTTGGGCTAATTGTCAGAAGTTTTAATTTTATTAAAAGTAGCAGAATGCTCTGGAATTTGGCTGGCACAGTGGTTTAGATACCTGGGATTCTATTTCTGGGCTGTCTGCTAGCTCTAAAAGGTGTCGAGACCTCTTGTGCAGGGTATCGATGTGTCACAGCATCCCTGAGGATGACAATAGTTCAGACTCTAGAAATTTAACTCTGCTGCATCTGCTTTTTGATGGAGGCTCTTGGGGAGGTTTGGCTGAGCTGCCTTTTTTCATTGATGTTCTAATGAGTTTTAAGACTGTTATTTTACCTGGCAGTTCCAATAACAATCCACCTCCCTCGTTATTTTATTGTCCAAGCAAAAAGGTGGCAGGAACAGGCAATAGCAAAATCTAACCCCAGTGTGGGAATGAGCCACGTTAAATTGTTGAAGCTCACCTGCTCCTCAGACTTGAGTTTCAAAAAGGTGGCAGGAACAGGCAATAGCTAAATCTAACCCCAGTGTGGAAATGAGCCACATTAAAATGTTGAAGCTCACCTGCTCCTCAGACGAGTTAATTTGACACTTCAATAAGTTTCTTATATATTAAAAATTATTTACCTTAGTTGGCTGAGATCCAGACTGGGAAATAGGCACTTGAGGAAGGATCCTAACCATCACTTACTCTTCTCCCGTTTAGACTACCCCTTCTGGCAAGAAGTACAAGTTTGTGCCGACCGGGCATGGCCAGTACAAAAAGGTGCCAATAGATGATGCAACGGAGCAATAGTGTGTGTGGAGTACCAATCAATCAGGTGGGTTGGTCACAGCCTCTCTCTGTAGGAGAGTCATTTTGTACTCTTCAGGCAGGACAGCTAGGATGGTTCAGTGCAATAAGCATCAGACATGGTTTTTCATCCTGTGTGTTCTCAGATACCAGCCAGACTAAGGTGCGTTGGAAGGTGCTGCATGGAGAAAGGCTGAGTTCCCACTTCTCAGCAAACAATCCTCTTCCTCTTTGGGGGTAGAAGAAGGGCATGCAAGAGGAAATTCTTTCTAGCCACTGGGGGGAATAGGATGACCATATTAGCTGCTAGGAAACTTACCTTGCGGACCACACTGTGTGGCAGGGTTCCTTTCGCTGGCCTCTGTCCCTACTCAGACTGAAAGCGCCTTTATTGAACTAGATGTGGCTTACTCTTTACAGCACAAGATCAGATTAAGCTCTGCAGTGGCTGGGGATAATGAGAGTTCATTCCAGAGAAGCATGGAAGCTGACCCAGTCTTCTGTATTCAGTGTATTCCAGTGTTTCTCAACCACTGGTATGAAATTCCAGTGTTTCTCAACCAGTGGTATGAATACCCTTAAGGGTACTCGAGAGAAGTTTGGTGGGGTGGTATGTCAATATAACTGAAATTTGGAGAAAACAGAATGTGTTAAGTTTTACAGCGCTTTATTATTTTTGTACTTTTTACACCCAAAAATTTCATCGCCTGCCTGGCTACAATTAAAGTGTTTAAACAAATGTGTTCCAATGATAAAAAAAAAAAAATTGTCTAAAAACTGTAGGTACTGAGGGTTACTTATACTTTTTTTTTCCAAAAGGGGGTACTCTGTAAACAAAAAGGTGAGAAACAGTGGGGTATTCAATGAGGGCATTTAGATCAGGCCTGTGGTTGGTGGTGGGGTGATCTGATGGGAATTTGCACTGTTTCTAGATCAACCAGTGGAGCAGAAGGAATGGTCTAGTTACATTAAGGAAGACAGGAAAGTGTGTAGAGCTTATCATTGTGCCCACTTAGAAAGGTCTCTGGGTTTCTGACTTTCTCATGACCATAGTGCTTGAGAGAGCACAATGATATCTCTTAGTTCAAGGGACCAGAAGTGGAAGACTTAAAAGACAAAGAGGAACTCGCTTACAGAGGTGTGACCCTGAGCATCTGATGGCCTGTGCAGGGAAAAAAACACATTTGACTTCTCATAAAACATTTATTTACTTTCCAAGCTTTAGGGATAGCATGGTCTTTACAAAAACACTTCTTCCATCTCTTCCCTGTTTACCATGCACTACCCTCATCTCTTCCCTGTTTACGCTGACCCCTCATGTGATTGTGTAGCCAGACATGGAGGCCTGTAGACCACTTGATGACCAGACCCACCTCTTTGCTTTTCACTTCTATAACCTGCTTCAACTCTCTGCTTTCATCACATGCCTTGTCCTTTAAATCTACATAGATTCCTCCTTGGTGTGCTCCTTCTTATGTGTGCCAAGCCTGGCCTTGCTAATCTTCGCTGCCCTAGATGCAGATAAACCTCATTATCTGAGTTTTTGCTGCTCGTGTAAAGGGGTTTTCCTCCCCCACCCACCCATGCAGGGAAATAAACCGTTTTATTAGCTGGAGCCTACCTAGGAGGTTAGACTTGTGTCTCTGAATCAGTCAATCCCTCCTGGAAAGGCAAGCAGGCAACAAACAGACCTCCCATAGGATAGCCATAGCCAATACTCAAAGAAGAGGACTTGGCACTGTTGCCCAAAATCCTACTGTTCAGTGTCTCTGTGGCTCCAAATGTAGGTCCTTGAAGACAAAGAAGCTGAAATAGTTGTGGGTGCTGGGTTTCACCTCTGTTTTCACTTGTTTCTCTGACCATCCATTTCATGTCTTGGGTGTTTCTCCTCTCCCTGTGCACTTCTTTCCTCCTTCCCCATCCCACTGTCCCCTTTTACCCCCTGGCTTTCCCTTCCAGGAGGCCTGAGAGTCCCATGATGCTGCTTGGTAAGCAACTGGAAAGCTCACTAAGTAGTGATTAAAGGAAGGCGTTGAACAGGCTTCTTTGTACCTTCCACTCTTGAGTTGCTTCCTCTTTGCAGGCTCATGAAACAAGAGGTTGTTGCCAAGAGATGGCTTGTATAGTTGCTGATTTGGCTGCCACGGCGACCTCTCTTAGTAACTTCAAACACACTGAAGGGATTTAATTGTTGCTGTCCTCTTTCTCTTTCCGCATCGCATCACTAACCTTGATTCACAGCAGCCTTAATTCGAAGGGATTTAATTGTTGCTGTCCTCTTTCTCTTTCTGCATCGCATCACTAACTTTGATTCACAACAGCCTTAATTGATCTCCCTCTTGGACTTGAAATCCTCCTACAAGCCTCTTCTAAAAGTTGCCTGCTGGCTCTGGAAACCTTTCTTTCCAATGACGTGCCAGAAACAGCCCTTTACTGAATGTATCTGCTTCCTGCTTGGACGTTCTCTGCGTTTGTAGGGTTCAGCAATGCAACGTGGCCTGCTCACTACCTTCCCCTAGGGAAGCTGAGCTTTGCCTGTGTGGCAGACTGGGCTTCATTGGAAATGTAGTGAGGTGAAGTGGGTACAGTAAGGAAAGGAGCAGTTGTGTACCTTTCTGAATTGCTAAACCAAGCAAACATCTTCCCCTTCATCTGTGAAAGACCCGTCTTGTTCCCAGGGTCCCTGTCACTGTAATAGGACAGAAAGTTGGCTGACGTTTCAGTAGCTACTGAGTTATTGTCTCTTGCCAAATTGGCCTAACCTCGCAGTTGTAACAAACATTAGTTGTTCTGCTTGATGTTAATAATGCAGATCCTATGTGTGGTAATTATGGTGGCCTTTGTGTGTGCCAACTATGCTGCAGTGGCATTACTCCTACTAGGCAACAAACAGATTTTCTGTGTTTCTAGGGTCCGATTTTTTTATTTATTTTTATTTTTTGAAGCAAACTTGTTTTGGCACTGGAAAGAAGCTACTGTATGCTAGCAGACAAAAGGGCTGCCAATCAAGGGCATCTGGTTGCAGGACTGAACTCTTGACCGCCATTATAGGAGACTGCAAATAGCTGATGACATTCCAAAGCAACTATGCTGAAACAAAACTGGGGCAGTGTTTGGAAACCTTGCCGTGCAGAGTTAAATGAGACGTGCTCGGTCTATCTTCCCTCTTGAAAATTCCAAACTTCTAAGTTTTTTATAAGCACTTCCTTCAGATTTAAAAAGCAGTGACCTGAGTCAGTTATGTGATTTCACCTGAGTGTGATTTCACCTGAGAACAATCCAATAATTTGGACTTGACTTTTAGAAAATCCAGCCACTTAAGGCTTTTACCTTGATGCATCATTAATATGATTTTGCAGTTAGTTTAGACATGGACAATGTGGGTTCAGAGTTTGTTTCAACTGCTCTGGCTGAACCTTCCCTGTGACCAGTAGAAAAGTTATACTACTTGTCAGCTATCCATGCTGGTTGTGAAGTTGTGATCTGCGTCATGTGATTTAGGATGTTGCTTCCTAGGGAAGAAAGCTCACTGTAGTGTATCTAGAGAGTTGGGGGGCAAAGGGGAGAGGTACTGCTTAAATAGCTTGTCTTGAATATGTAGTCTGCCTTGATTATATTGGTATAATCATCATTCAATGCAGTACTTCTGAGGTAATTACATAGGTCTAAGGGTCTGTCTACACATCAGTTATTTCGGGATATTCAAGGTTTCCTGAAATAGCTACCCCATGTCTTTTGAATGTGCCCGCTATTCTGAAATATAGCGGACGTGCTATTTCGCCCTCCCTCTAAACCACATACGAGGAGTTAAGGGATGGCTCAAAATAGCACTTTGTTTCAAAACTTGGTGATGTGTACACAGTGCCAAATTTCTAAATAGCCTACACAATTTGCATATCTTATTTTGAGTTTAGAGTGCAGTCTAGACATAGCCTGAATGTGCTTTATCAGTATAGCTATTCCTATAAGGAAAGAGGAATAAACGATACCTGCATAAAGGTTCCTTTTCCTTGGATAACCATACTCACAACAGGGGTTGTACTGGTGCAGCTAGATTGGTTAGTATAGATTCAGCGTAAGGAACAATCATAGAGCCATTTCTGAATCCTTGCCCTGCAAATATGGAATTAACAACAAAATAGCAATTGAGTTTTTAAACTTTAAAGTTCCAGCCTTATTTTTGGTTCAACAGCCCGTAAGGCAGTTAGATGTCCAACTCTCACTGAAATTTAATGGACTCTGGGTGTTGTGTTTTTTTTTTTTTTTGAACTCCTGAAAATTCCAGACTGTCTGCACATATATTTTAATTAAAGCAAAATACCTCTATTCCCAGCCTACGTCAGTACAAGGCTCTTTGTAGCAAACCACCTTTCTCTCTGTAGGCTCGTAACTCTGATCACATGTACAGCACATTAGAACTGATTGAAAAATAGGAAGTACATTTTGGCCAAACTATTCTTATTTTCTTAATAGTTTCATAGAAATTATTCACTCTTAATTTGGGGGCTCCCCTTCCTCCCCCTCCCCTCTCGCCCATTTTCCAGTAGCAAAAATGAAAGACAATACTTGGAGTTCTGATGCTGTGAAACTGAAAAGGGAACCCTCCCTCCCCTGAAAATTCCCAAACTATTTTTTTCAAGACTGTTCAGAATGAGAAATCCCAGCCAGCTCTGTAGCCTGTGCATAGGCCCACAGTGTAGAAGCAGGTATCAAATTTCTTTTTGGGGCTAAACATAACCAATCCTATATTAGCTATTCAGAAATACTCCTTCTTATGGCAACCTTCTTAGGGAAGTGGAAATAGCTGCAAGCTTAACCAGTCTGAGCTCCCTCCCGAAGCCCGGTGACTATGGAGATGCAAACAATGGTGAACAAACTCCCAAAACAACACCCTCCCCCCCCAAAAAATAGTCAGAAAAAACAGATTTCAGTGTAATGCTGATTAATTCACCCTCTTCCCTAAAATACCTTGTCAAACCTGAGCTGTTGTAATCAAAATGAACACGATATTCCCTAAAATACCTTGTCAAACCTGAGCTGTTGTATCGTGTTCATTTTGATTACACTGCCAGAAAGCAACAGGAAGTGCAGAGGAGCTTCCCTTTTGGATTTGTCCTTCTCTCCTGTAGTGTTAGAGAACATGTGGGTTTTAAAAACAACCCCAATTGTAAGCCTTGTCAAGACCAACCTTGGCCATCTCTCTGCTGGGACGTCTATAGTGCGTTGCACTGGATCTTGGTGAAGTTTGAGAGAAGACTAAAGGCCTTCTTAGCCTTCATAGAGACACAGCTAGAGGGTGAGTGCATGCCAACATTGTAGGTGTGGCCCATCTTGCAGAGCAGAATGGAGCAGGCTACTTCTGGAGATTTTAGCCCAACACATGTTACTGTTGCATGAGTGGCAAGGGATTGGGGCAGCTAAAAGTAGGTCCTCCTTGCTAAATAGTCTGTCTTGAGCCAGAAGGGAGGCCAAGGGATAACTGATTGCAATAGGCTTCTCTGCGTGACCAACAGGAAAATCTGGAGCTGCTGTGTCAGAGCAGCTTAATCTTCCTCTTGCACTGTTAACTGTGGCTAACATCCGAGGCTTCAGAGGACATTAGTCAGTCATGGGGAATTGCCACGCGGGGTTAGACTAAGGAAGTTAAGTAGCAAGTAAATGACTAATCGTGTACTCGATTAGTGGATAAGGGACGGCTGAGACTCTACAGTTTAAATGTAGTAGGAGATGGGGATGCAGGTAGACCAGCTCCTACTACATTAAAACTGCAGAGCTGCAGCAGGGGTAGGTCCAGGACCTGGCATGAACCTGGACTGTGTCATGCCCAGTTTGCACTAGGTCCCGCTTTGCACCTCTGCCTTTTACATGTAGCAAGAGCCAGAGGCCCCCTCGCCCTTCCGCACCACAGAGATGGTGCTGAGGGGAAATGTTTTTTAAGCCAGCTTCCTCCAGCACAGGTCCTGCTTCCCCACCCACTCCAGACTTATTGGGTAGTCAGCTAATCGTCTACTCTTCTACATCCCTCGGTTAAACCAGGCAATAATAGGGCATGTCTAGACTACAGCCCTCTTTTGAAAGAGGGATGTAAATTGGATTGAAATTGCAAATGAATTATTTGAATTTTCCACGCTTCATTTGCATAATGGCGGCCATGCGTTGTCTCAAAAGGTTTTTTGGAAGTGAAACCGCTGTCTAGACACGGTTCTTTTGGGGGGGGAAAAAAGCCCCACCCTTTTTAGAAATATCCTGTTGTCCTCAAAAAATGAGCAGAGGATCTTTGGGGGGAAAAAAGGTGGGTTTTTTTGAAAGTGAAACCACTGTCTAAACAGCGGTTTCACTTTTGAAAAGCACTTTTGAAAATGCATGGCTGCCATTATGCAAATGAAGCATGGGACATTCAAATCCCAGCTTCATTTGCAATTTTGGTCTGTCTAATTTACATCCCTCTTTCGAAAGAGGGATGTAGTCTAGACCTGCCCTCAAGCTATGTCTGCTTTGCTGACAATGAGTGTGCAAATGAGGCATGGATTAGCATATGGCCACACTGCATTTGCATAATTTATGCAAGGTATTTTTTGTAGTGTGGATGTTTTCTTTTTGAGCAAAAAAAACCCTCTTTTCACCAGATCGGTGAACCTCCTTTTTTGGGGCATAAGGATCTGGCAGGAAAAGGGTTTTTTGTGCAAAAAGAAAAGTCCCCACAACTTTCTCCCCCTCCCCCCTGCAAAAAACTGTTGCATAATTTATGCAAATGAGGCACAATGATATGCTAATCTGCACCTCATTTGCATACTCACTGCCGGCAAAACCGGCAGTGTAGCTGTAACCTAAGAGTATTTGGGCTTTGATGCTGGCCAGATCTGGCTACATCCTGCAAGGTTTCTTGCACTTAATGCTCAGGCAGTCACAGGGTAACCTACTCTTAGGGATAAGAGGCAATAAGTAGAGGCTGATTTGTAGCATGAGGCTTTATATTGCCGTGAGCTGTTTTGGTTTCACTTACTAGAGTTTAGGATAGACATTGCTAGGGACTGCAAGACTTGGACAGTGAGAAATACCTAAGCCACATGAGCACACCGTGAAAGGTGTAATTTCTCATGATGTGCCTGAAAATGGCAGAGAGGAACTACTGATGACCCCCTCAACTTTAGCGGGGGCAGCTGTAGCTTGGAAATCTTTAGATTCAGGCCAGTGCTTCCCACTCAAATCTTGCACAAAGTTTCTATGTAAATGGCAGCATTTATAGGAAATGTTTTATGTCTATTCAAGAAAAGATGCTTTTCAATCTCTCTCTCCAACCCCCCCCCCACTTTTCTAGAACCTCTTGTGTGTGTTTTTTTTTTAAAGTAGCATGTGTGTAGACACACACTTATTTAAAAAAATAACCTGATGTATTGGCCTACACACAATCTGAAACCCCTTGAAGGGACTTGATTTTGGCAGAAGTTGTTGATTGCTCACTCTGAGCTAGGCATCCTAAAAGCTGAAACAAACCATCCCTAATTGTTCTGAAAAAATCTCTGGCCAATTAATGCACTTGAAAGCATTTCAGAAAGGAGAAACTCTGATCATTGCAAAAGAGAAGGGCCTTCTCTCTTCCCGCTCCCCCCAACTCCTGTAACATCCATTTACTATTAGTGGGATCAAATTAATTGATTATAAAACCTAAACCCAATAAAATTCTATTATCTGGGCTGAGTGAATTGTGGTTTGGGAGCACCATGGAACACACCACAAACTGGTCACCCACGTTCTATGTGAAGGGAATAAATCTCCATCTAGTTCTGGGTGACCAGAAATTGCAGCTACTGCTGAGGATTCCAGCAAAGAAGCCAAGAACTCCATGACTTAGAAACAGAACCCTTCGTCCAATCTTAAAAAACTGAATCCTATAAACCGGGAGGCTGACTATTAGATGTGGCAGTGTAGACTCCATTTGCACTGCCTCAACCTGTCCTGTTTCTGGGCTTGCACTGGTTGGGATTCTTAAAGAAATCTAAAATACCATTGATTTAGGGCATGGAAAAACGACATGGTTTTTATGGTAAAGGTTTTCTGCAGGTTGCTTCACTGCTTTTCCTGGGTCCCTTGGTTTGACTTTTGTGGCCTGATCTCCAATTGGAATATTTAAAATGAAGCCACATATGGATATAGAACTGCTTTTCTTGGGGCCTCAAGCTGCTCTAGAGAAGTGTCCATGCACTACAGAGGCGTACCCACAGATACATCTCCTATGTGTGTGGTGATGCTAATCCCCTAAAGCCCTCAGTGTAAAGTTGCTGGCTGTGAAGGACTTTATATTTTTTTACATCTAGCTCCTTACTGCCAGAAAACCTGGCTATAAAAGCTCAACTGGAGCAGCCCCCTGGAGAAGACTTGAGAGAGCACACGACGGGCTTGTTGCTAAGGTGGGATCCAGCTGGTGTCACTTCAGCAGCCACCCCGGTGCAGTCCGGTTAAAATTCTTGGAATCCTCAGTTGTCTTGCACTGGAGCAGGCTCGACTCTAACATGGTGGTAATCTTCATCATTGGTTTGGACGCCAGCTCCTTCAGTTTCCGGGCATCAAACCGTGGCCTGTGGAGAAGGGGCAGGCGGTACCAGCGTGAGATACCCTCCTCTTTCCTTATCCCTTTTTCTTCTTGCTGCCTTCTCTTCTTGAGAGTTGTCATCTGATATAAGACAGCATCCCACATCTTGATGGCCCTTGATTTAATCAGTTTGCTGTCTTGGCTGGCCTTGCCTTGAGAGCTTTCTACTTTATTTCCTGCTTCCTCGGGTTCAGGCTTGGCTGGTTCAGTTTCTGGAAATTGGGGCTCCTCAGGTTCCACTATCAAGTGCTTCTTGAGGCGAGACCATCCACTGAGCGTGGCTTTAAGAGGCCTGACCTTCTCCACAGATGGTGGTGGAGGCTCAGCTTTGGGGACGGGACTGGCTCTGGGAATGGTGGCTGTCAGCTGTCGTGGAATGACCGATTCTTCCTTTCTTTCTGTGGAGAAAGCCCTGGTATTGTCAGTGGGCACAGTGGTCTCTTGCTTCTGAGCTGCACGGGGAGTCAATGGCCTTAGACTCTTGCTGTGTGGTTCAGGAATCCACTCAGTTCTGGATCTTGCTGTGTCATTTCCTGGGGTTTCTGGGCTACTGAACTGGGGATCTGGTGTCCGAGGACTAGAAACAGCAACCCCAACAGGCTGTGTAGGACCTGAAGGGTGGGAGAGCTCTGCTGTTGTGGTGGGAAGCTTGGAGGCCTTTGATTTGGGAGTAGCTGTGGCAGCCTGGTTAGCAGTGTGAGTGACTGGTGTCTGCCCCAAAGGCCGTTCCAAGTAGCTTACTTCAAGGTGGGTGGCTGAAGACATCCTGCCCTCGTTGCTGAGGGCTGTAGGGGCCTGGCCTGATAGTGGGGTCTTCACTCTGGGTACACATACACTATGGATATTGGTGTGTGTAGCAGTAACCTGGGAAACCCCATCAGGCTCTCTGGGAGTAGCAGGCCTGGGTGTTGTGTAGGGCAGCCCTGCTGTCAGGGGAGGTAGCACTGGCGCTTTTGAATTGGGAATACTAGCTCCAGCCTCGTCCGCACCGAGAGCAACTGATGCCTGCCCCGAGGGCTTGCCAGTATGGGCTGCCAAAGACTGCCTGCCCTCACTGCTGAGGGCTGTAGAGGATTGGTCGGATAAGGGGGTCTTGGCTCTTGGTGCCTGTACGCTATGGACACATGCTTGCACTTCAGTGACCTGGGTAACTTCCACTGGGGCTTCTACGACCGGTGAGGCAGAAACAGCAGTGTCAGGGAAAACGAAAACGCAATGTGGCTGTGGTGAGCGCAGCTGGGAGTGTCTCTCTGGTGGTGTCGTCCCTCTTGGTTGCCATTGGGACTCCCGAATGCCCTGCCTGTGCACTGGGGATGCTGCTGGAGAGACCGTGAGCTTGAGGTGTTCCGAGATCCTCCTTTGCTCAGTTACTTTGAAGGCGAAAGGCTTGGCCTTCGGGAAAGGCGACGCGACGTGGTGGATGACGGGTCTGATGCAGAACCGGGGCGGGAGTTGGATAGTGATTTGCGGCAATGTTCCTGGGGTCTTCAGCGGAGACGCGCGCTCACTGCGCTCTAGGTCTGGGCTGGCCTCACTCACTGGGGAGAGGCTGGCCTGGAACGATTTGACTTGCTGGGTGGCTGATGGTGCTTGCTTTGCAACTTTCTTTAAGAGTCTCTGGAGCCTAAGATTGTCCTTCCCAGGTTTTGGAAGTATGGCAGGGGGTGGTGTCTGTGGGCGGAGCATTGCTGGCTCGTAAGGTGATGGCACCGTTATCAGCATTTTTTTTTTAATCCCCTGAAATGAGAAACAAAGCTTAGAGATGGGACTTGCTGGGTGGCTGATGGTGCTTGCTTTGCAACTTTCTTTAAGAGTCTCTGGAGCCTAAGATTGTCCTTCCCAGGTTTTGGAAGTATGGCAGGGGGTGGTGTCTGTGGGCGGAGCATTGCTGGCTCGTAAGGTGATGGCACCGTTATCAGCATTTTTTTTTTAATCCCCTGAAATGAGAAACAAAGCTTAGAGATGGCCTCAGCAACTGATCTGCTTAACCCCGTACATGCTGCGGTGCTGGGCATGCCTGCCCAAAGGTGGGTCTGCTGGCAGCAGGCCCCAAACATTTGTCAGTAGAGCCTCCATGTGTTGTCCCTGAGGTGTGCGGCTTGTTTCAGAAGCAATGCATTCCCTGGGAGAGGGAGGAGCATCCTACTGGTGCTTGTATCCCTGGCTCTTTCAAGACAATACGTGTCTAATGAACAACTTTCCCCATCACTCCAGTTTAGAGGCAGGGGTGCTGGACCAGTTTGGATAGTGGGGCTGCTGAGAGCCTTTGAGCCACAATGGAAATCTGGTGTCTGATGGAAACCATGTCAGTCTGGGGGTGCAGGTGCCCACTCCTTGTTTCAGCACCCATGGTTAGAAGCGTTCTCAGCGACTTTTTGCTCTGCCTGATGCTAGGAAGTCCCTTGCTGCCTCAAACGTTATAATGCATTTTTCCATCCTCCTCCCACAACCCTGGCAATAAAAATGAGCTCTGATTGGGCCGTTAGGTTGGATGGTATTGCCAGTTCCTCCAGCTCAACTTCAAACCAGAGCCCTTGTTTTGAGCTGGAAACACAGCCTGAACTCTGCAGCTGGAATCAGGTCTACAAAAAATTACTTTTTGAGTTTTTTCCGTAGGGCACCCCCAGAGCCTGGCAGTCAGTTTTCTCCAATATTGCCATCCGTGTGCAGAATAAATGTGCTGTGACCAAGGCATGCACAGACATTGTACCACCAGTAGAAACACATGCTGTGGGCGCTCTGCTAATCAGCTGGGTGGTGGGGAGGGGGAGGTTTGGGACTCCTCCTGCCGGCTCCTGGCTGACCCCATGCGCATTACCAGTGCCTATAGCTGCTCAGGCACACAGCTTACAGGGAACACTGCTAGCCGTGCCCTAAGCTCTGTGACTCTCCAGTGCACCTGCTCTCTTCCCATTCTCACCCTGGGCTGCAACTTCTGTGACCCTGTCTAGAAACAAGAGAAGTTCTTCGTGACCAACTATTGCTGCTTTGTGTAGAGACGAGTGGGGGTAGCCACAAGAGCGGAGCAAAGAGTGGGGAGCCTGTGCCAGGGTAGGGACAGAGGGGGGGCATCTTGCTTACTCCGTCCATCTCTCCCTGGCACAGACATCCGCTCCAGATAAAGCTTTTCCTCCAATTATCGCCAGCTTCACAGTTGCTGAGCTGGCTTGGCAAAGAAGTGAGGCCAAGTGAATGAATCTGTCAGCTCCCAGGGCTGGATGGTGTCAGTGCCCTGAAAGGAGGGGGAAGAGGCTGGGTGTCAGAGGCTCTGCTCTTTGAAGACTGGCTTGCTCGTTCCAGCTGCTTTCTGGTTTGTAGTTGGTAAAATTCAAGGTTTGAGCCAGAGTTTTCAAATTCCCCCAGTCCCAGCCCTTGAAGCTGTTGGTTGCATCAGTGTCCATAGAGGTGCAAACCCTGGGCATTCACTTGTAAACAGAACAGCTGTTTTCACTTTGGTGCACATGAGGCTTACACAGCCTTTGACTGAGTTAGCCATTGCTGAGACAGACAGATGGCAAACTACTCCTTCTGGGAGGCTGGCCTTTTGCTTGCTTGCTACAGAAATTCCTGGCAGGCAGAGCGCTGGAGAAAGGGGAGGGCTGAAGCAGACCCTACAGTTAAAGGCTCTCTCTATTTCCACTCTGGCTCCAGTTGCCCTCCTAATTCCAGCAAAATCTCAGCGGGAAATATTTTCACTGCACAGCTGGAATGGTCTCTGGGACGTAGGTCAGGAATGGGCAACCACTGGCCCTCCATGTCAGTGGGCCGCAAGAGTCGTAACCACGATGCTCTCCCGGGATAGGAGAGTTTTGCTGTGTGTGCCGATTAGGCTGTAGCAGTGCTTTGGACGCAGAATGAGCACGTGTTGTGTGCAATCCGCACTTGTCTCGCTTCACGTGCGCTTGCGTTAGATGCGGGTCACTTTGGTAGTACTGGTAAAGGGGGCGGGGGAAAGTACCCAGCAGAAGTTGGCAGCCCTGCTCCTGGGCAACAGTAAACAAAATTTCTCATTCATGGGCCACACGCAGAGCCCCAGTGGGCTACATGTAGGCCACATGCTGCCCACCACTGGTGTAGGGGGTGTGCTGGCCCCTCGGCAAAGAGTGTGTGTGTGTGTGTGTGTGTGTGTGTGTGTGTGTGTGTGTGTGTGATTTTTGAGGAAGTCCTGAAGGGGGAATTATGTCTGCGGGGTGGCAACTGCTGGCAATTCCAAGCAGCTCATCCGACAAAGGCTAGAATTAGGCATAGTTCAGTTCCAAAAATGTCTCTCGTGTGTGTTGAATGTCTGACTGAAGAGGGCTAGAAATATCATTCCTCACTGTTAGGTTTCACTGCACAGGGGCACGCACATGCGTACACACCCTGCCACCCTGAGCAAGGGGCCAAAGCTGAAGCCCCAGGGCTTCAGTCCCAGGCAGGGGGCCAGTAATTTTGAATTCTTGGGCAGTGGGGCTCTGGCCCCAGGCTCCAGAAAGTCCAAGCCTGCTCTGGTGACCCCATTAAAATGGGACCCAAAGTGGGTCCCGAGCCCCAATCCAGTTTGCGAACTGCTGTCCTAAAGTGAGAGCTTGCAATTCCAACAGAGTCCTCAATGCACCAAACCCACCTTGTGTCCCTTTTCCCACATTCCCAGGGATGGGGGTCTGAGAGACCTTGAAATGCCTGAGTTGGTGCAAAGATTAACGATGTTGCTATAATTACACAAATGTAAGCTCCTTCTACATCCATGCTTTATGTAAGGTAGAAACAATGAGGAATCTGTGGAACCTTGGGAACTAACACATTTATTAGGGCATAAGCTTTTATGGGTAAAACCCACTTCCTCAGATGAATTGGAGTGGAATGCCCTGAGGCAGGGGTATTTGTATAAGGACAACAAAAGAAAGAGGATTCTTGTGTAAAATTTAGCCACTTCTACCCTGACTTGATTAGCTTCTTCAGCTGCTGATGTGGAAATGTGGCTATTGAGAGGGGAAATTGCCTTTGCAATGCATTAACCAGTAAAGATCCTTATTGAATCCTAAGTTGATAGTATTGAATTTGCAAATGAATTCCAGTTCAGCTGTTTCCCTTTGTAATTAGGTTTTGAAATTCTTTTGTAGACATGATAATGAAGTGGGTTTTACCCATGAAAGCTTATTGCCTAACAAATCTGTTTGTCTCTAAGCCCTGTCTGTACTAGGGAGTTATTTCGAAATAACAGGGCATCCACACTACCAAGCCTGTTGTTGTTGTTTTTGAAATAACCAGCCCCTTATCTTGAAATAACTCCTGCTTTCCTTGGAGAATAAGATTATTTTGAAATAAATGATTTCCTAAGGTGCCACAGGACTCCTCGTTTTTGTAGATACAGACTAACATAGCTAATTTTCTGAGACTTTTCACAGTGTACAGTAGATTTACTCTTTTGTGTGGTTGACTTTGCTAACGTACTAACCGAAGGTGCAATAGTCAATGCTCAAGTTCATCTCGGAGTCCTAGATCTGGCTACATCAACACCATGATGTGGGGATGTGATTTCGTCACCCCACCTTGTTTGTGTGCACATCCTAACTCTTGTTGAGTTAGCATGAGCATAAACAGCAGTGTAACCATAGGAGCACTGGTAGTGGCAATACTGGCTGAGCTATATAGTGCACCAATCTGCCTGAAATAGTGGGCATATACTCAGCACAGGTATGTCTCTGCAGCTGCTACCTGTGCCACTGTGGCTGAGCATAAATAGTAGCCTAACTAGCTTGCTTGTATGTGAGCAGGGGAATCTTAGGCTGTACAAGAAGTTTGCATCCTCATTGTATTCACATAGACACATTTGCAGTAGTGTTGCTAATGCAGGCACAACCTCCTAAGCATCCTTCATTAAACCTACCTTGAACCTTCATTTGCCTTGAACAAAACACTGTGAGCTTCTAGGGACTACTGGGAGCATAGATGAGGTAGGTCAGTGAAATCTTACTATGGCTAGCAATAGACAAAACTGTGGCTGTCTTAAAATATTGCCTGTTGTGTAAAGAACTGAGGCATTTCTTGCTGTTTACGCTGACTGGGGGTTCTTGAGTTTCCTGGTGCATGTCCCTGACTGTGAGGCTAGAAGGCTTTGTTTGGAGTGTTGCTATATAAATGACAAATACCACAACCTTCTGAAAGAGAACTGAAATGCTACCTTAGCTTTTTAATGATTTGTGAAGAAGAGGGGGCAAAGTACCTGGGAGCCACCTTGCTTTTGTGTAGCTGGACAAAACAAACTCTTCTAAACAGAAGGAATTAGGTGGAAAAACACCTCGGTCCCAATGGTGTGACTCCTCATGGTAGAGGCGACTACTTCCCCTGTGCCCTCTCCCTGGAAAGGAATATCTAGGACATGGGAATGGCTACACTTGATGAGGGCAGTGCCTCCTCTAGTCCTGTATCTGTCTGGTTGCAGCTCTTTCAGAAGAAGGTGCCAGGTTCCCTGCAGTGAGATGTAATCAATCCAGTGGGGGAGAGATTCTTATCTCCCAATGATAGAAGCTGACTTACCTACTGAAGCATCTGGTTTCTCATCACTTCCAATGCACTCGGCTTTTAAAAAAAGATCCTTGCTATTATAACTCTGGATTTTCTTGTTTATCCAGGTAAATGGCCAAGTCTTCCTTTGAATCTCACTAAATCCTTGGTCTCCATCATACCTTGTGGCCGTAGATTGCATAGTCTGTTCCTGGCAGAGTGATACTTTACATCACATTTGAATTTGCTGCCTTTCCATTTCAGTGATTGGGGCAGAGTTTTGCTGTGTGTGCCGATTAGGCAGTGCTTTGGACGCAGAAGGAGCGCGTGTTGTGTGCAATCTGCACTTGCCTCGCTTCATGTGCGCTTGCGTTAGGTGCGGGTCACTTTGGAAGTACTGGTAAAGGGGGCGGGGGGAAGTACCCAGAAGGAAATCAGGCCCTGTGCCCTCTCCCTGGAAAGGAATATCTAGGACATGGGAATGGCTACACTTGATGAGGGCAGTGCCTCCTCTAGTCCTGTATCTGTCTGGTTGCAGCTCTTTCAGAAGAAGGTGCCAGGTTCCCTGCAGTGAGATGTAATCAATCCAGTGGGGGAGAGATTCTTATCTCCCAATGATAGAAGCTGACTTACCTACTGAAGCATCTGGTTTCTCATCACTTCCAATGCACTCGGCTTTTAAAAAAAGATCCTTGCTATTATAACTCTGGATTTTCTTGTTTATCCAGGTAAATGGCCAAGTCTTCCTTTGAATCTCACTAAATCCTTGGTCTCCATCATACCTTGTGGCCGTAGATTGCATAGTCTGTTCCTGGCAGAGTGATACTTTACATCACATTTGAATTTGCTGCCTTTCCATTTCAGTGATTGGGGCAGGCACATGTTTGTGTTATGAGATCCAACTTCTGTGTCTCTGTCTCTCTCTCTCTCTCCCTCCAAGCTCTGCATACTTTTCAGAGAGCAGTTTGTCTGCTCTGTAGGAAGCACCTCCCCCCCCATGCGCACACTCACCACATACACACTCCAACACTATATGTTGGAACAACAGAGTAAAGGAGGATGCATTGCTTTGCTTGTTCTTACTGGCTGCGTTGAATATTTACCAGGGATTCATTATAAAATTGAAGGTGGGGAATGAACTGTTTAAGAACCCCATGCTCTTAGTCTTGTTTCATTTACTTTTCCTCAAGTTTAGCAAGTTGTTTGGGTTCTTTGAAGTGTTTAGTGCTTTTTCTTCATGCTGATGCACAACCTGAAAACTGCCTGGTCTTGAGATCTGTTATCCTACTCTCCTGTGCTTGGAGAGAAGCTTTTAATCAGAACTTAGTCCCCAGTTTGACCTTTCAAACAGGGGAAGTCTCCATGTGGAAGAGTCATTAATTTCAGGATGGAGAAGTAATTGGGCATGCGGGAGAGAAAGCACAGAATCAGCTGTTTGGTGTAAAAGAAATGAAGCTTGTTTTTAATGGAAAAGATTGCTTTAGTATTTTTCTTCTGCCTAGAGGGGCAGCAGCATCTGAACACCTCCTCCTAGGAGATGACTGCAGTGAAATGCATCTTTCTCTGCCAGGGTAACATGAGCTGGACAAGATCCTTGCTGCTGCGTACTGTCTCCTGCCTGTTACTCATGGCTTCCTGTCACAGTAACAGAGCAGCTGAATACAGGGGCCTTGTGATTTGATGTTTCTTGTCAGAAAAGAAAAAAATAGGAGCCTAGAATAGGAGGCCCAACACTGGGTTGCAAGCAGCTGCTGTATGCTGGCTCACCCAGCATATAGGGGCTGTAAACCCGGGGAAACACTCAAAATATGCAAGTCAGGGGAAGCCTCTTGGGCTGAATTTCTGATGTAGTAACTTTGTCCTTTGTTCTATTTTTTTTCTTTTGTTCAGCTGAGCTTGGTCCTGGCTAGATGCAACCCTGTACTCAACGCTGATGTTTCCTCTACTCTGCGGGAGACCACCGATGGATATTTCTCCCAGTCCTTGGCAGGCAACTTCACTGTGCTCTGGAACAGCCTAGCTGTATCCTCAAATGGGAGCATCCCCCCCACACTGCTTTCATGTGGATGAAAGGAACACGATCAGCTGGCTCTTTCCTCATTTTAACTTTCTTAAATGACTTTGCTCTTTTGTATGTGGCTCCTCTGAGCCCTTCTGTGTCCGGCTGGAGATGGGAGACAGTTACTTTTGGTCCTCTCTGATCTCTTGAATGTACGAAGAGAAGGATCTGCCAACTTGCCTAACCCAGCAGGGGGCAGAAGGGGTCTCAACCAATGAGAAACCTCTGCCATGTACGAAGAGAAGGATCTGCCAACTTCCCTTCTGCCCCCTGCTGGGTTAGGCGTCTCAACCAATGAGAAACCTCTGCTATTCCAGCTACTAGCTATTTGGGGGTAGGAGGAATAAAGCTGAACAGAAAAAGATTAATGGATGTGGTGGGGAAGCAGGGAAATTGCTCGACAGAGTAGGTTAGAGGTGACTTTAAGACTTATTGCACTGGGCCTCCATAATCCTATGAAGCCACAGCAGTACTAGCAACCTAGATCAGTTGGGGGTTTTAAATCCCCCATGTTCTCCTCTCAATGGGGAAACTCACCACCTGTTTCTTTTGCCATCTCTTCGACCATGCCTCTTCTGTTGTGAACTGTAATAGAAGGTAGGGAACACCTATATGACTCTGACCTTCTCCTCTGCCTCCGTGGATGGCCAGGCCAGGTTAGTCTATTCCAATTGAATAAAAAACTTGGGCCCAGGCTTTTCTCATTCTACAACTGTTTCCATACTGAGGTGGTCCTTCACTTGTCTGTCACCGTGCCAATCCCTTCCAGATTCTGACCTACATGAACAAGTAGCAGCTCACACGGGGGGTTGGAGCCCAGGTGGTAGTTTTTTGCCTCTTGCTTCCCCATTGAGTTGGAGGGTTCCTTTCCCATTTGTTACTTACTCTAGCTTAATGGGTTTCTTTTCAAGCTGAGCCCCAATGGAGCTGTGTCAAATACTCCCATCAAATGTGTATCAGCAAACCTTGGGTGGCTATGTTGGTGCAGCTTGGAAATAAGCAGTCCTCACCACTTCCCTTGGAGCTGCCTCTGCAGAAGGGTATCTTGGTGTCTGCTGGGAGGACAGGGGGTGGAGAGGGCTTGTTGTGGGACTGAGGGGGCCTCCTGGCAGACTAGTAAACTTCAGACTGCCACAGTAACACAGTATTTGGTTTGCTCCCAGTCCCTGCAAACCAACACACATGAGTCAGTCTGGATACTCCATGTCCTCTATCCCATGTTTTTTTTGGCACGTCCTTGACCACCTCTTATTAAAAGGGTTTCTTCTCCCCACTATGCCCACAAAGAGCTGGACAACTCCCCCCGCAGCTTGTTCCTGTTCTTCTCAGATAGGAGCCCCTGCCTTATGGAGCCTCTCTCCTCCCTCAATTTGCTTTCTGCTTGAATTGATTCTGTCCTGGATTTATTTTGTGTGTGTGTGTGAGCATTTAATAAAATGGCCAACAAAGAGATTGTAACAATTGTGGCTTTGAGTGTTTCACTAATGGTCAAAATGGTCCAGTTCAGACAAAGTTGTTTCCAAAGACTTCACCCTGCCAGCTTCCGCAACACCTTGGGTGAAACAAAAGTTTTCCAGTTCTATGAAATGGAGAGCAAGAGGTGAACAAATACTAGAGGGTCTAGGAAAAGATCCATTTTAACTGATACCAAAGAAGTGTTTGTTGCAGTAGCATATCAAATTGCTTGCCTTAAAACCAGACCTTTAGAAAGAGCAGAAAGCAAAGCTGACCATTTCTGTGCATAGAGATGACCATGATTGGTTCTTTGATTGAAAATGCCAAAATTTGTCAGCTGTGTAAACCTAATCTTGGGAAAACATTGCATGCAGTACTAGGTTACTGTAGCAATGGTAGAAAATGATTGGCTAGTCACTAAATACATCACTTTTCAGGAAGCCAACACATCAGTGAAGGATAGAATGAGGCTGATCTAGGCAAATACCATGATTAGCTTCAGAGGGTTGGTTCCAAATATTGACAGTGTTACCAAACCCACTATACCAAGGCTAACCAGCCTTAGCAGTCATACCTCCCTGGCAGTTTCTGTACCACCCTCTGTACAAGCAGTAGTTGTGCAGTGCTCAGCTTACCTATGCTATCCAATAATGGTTGGAAAAAGGCCAGGCTTCTCTTCGGTCACATCATCTCTTTGCAGTGTCTCTATAGAAGGCTGGAGCTAGAATGGTCTTTCCAGTGGTGCCTTAGCCCAAAACCCTTTTCTCCAGATTTAAAAAAAAGGGGGGGGGGGGGGGAACAGCCTCTGCCCTGGCCCCCTTTATCCTTTAATAAGGCTTGGGATGCTGCTTTCATCAGCGTGTTGAATTTATCTCTAGGAATCTCAAGATGGCCTCTTGCCCAACAGTCAATTCTGTCTAGGAGTGGTAGGGAAGCAGGGAGTCACTTTTAGGTGTCAGCAACATGGATGTTAGAGTAAAATCCTGAACAAGTGGGGTGAGATGGGCACTCTTGAGCAAGATTTGCTCTGGTGTGTTCCCCTCCCTCTCCCCTCCATGCTTGGGCCCAGATTCACAAAGGTGCTTAACTCCCACTAGGATAATTGGAAGTTAGGTGCCCAATAGTCTTAGTGAGTCTGGGCCACCGAAATCTTGGGTCAAGTCACAGCTGGTCTCAGTAGAAACAAGTGTCATAGTTGAGGTGCTGGCTTCCATGGAGGAAGGAGCAGATTTCAGAGAGATGCTCTAGAAGAAGCTGTTACCTTTTTGGTGAGCCTCAATACTGGTTTGCTTTCAGGAGTTACCTGGAAGAGAATTTTTCCACTCTTTGTTTAACTTTCATCCTTGCTATATCTCCTCCCCTCAGCTGCAGTACAGACAGGCTGCTGGCATTGACCAGCTGCCATGATTATTCAAAAGTGAGCAAAGGACTTGAAGGGAAGTGGGGGCCCATAGCGTTCTGTACTGATCTGAAACTCGGGCTCGCCTGAGATGGTGCCTAATGTCACATGACCTGTTCTGCAGTGAGTGACAGACAGCAGTGGGGGTGAGGTGGTGTTCTTTGCTTCACAGCAAAGAATGCCCTAATACTTTCTGTGCTCTCCTTCTCACAGCTCACCCTTGTGCTCCCCTTCCCTTCAGGAGAGATGTCTTTGCAATGTATGATCCCAATGAGAAGCAAACCTTTCACAGAGGGCTAGGCTTGGGGTAGAATAACTCTTCTTCCATGTGCAAATTAAACTTGCCCTGAGAATTCCCATGGGTCCATTTTTCACTGCTTTGGGGCTAGATTCTGTTGCCTCTCATTCATGCTATGCAGCACCATGGGCCCCCTGACTTGTACTGGAATAACAGTGACATAATGGACTCTGTGGTAGCATTTACCTCTGTTCCATAAAATTATGCAGTTCTCACCTATCTAGATGCTCATCTTGCCCTCATCAACGGATGGAGCCTCAGACCTTCATGAATTTATCCACCTGAAGCCTGTGACGTAGTAAAGAAGTGTCCCCCTTTTATAAAGGAGGAACCGAATGGATGAACTGACTTGCTTGCAGTCATGCAGGCCATCTGTGCCGGAGCTGAAGTGAGATGTCTTGAGTCTTAGTCCAGAATTTTAACTGCAAGACCCTCCTTCCCCCTCTTGTGGTGCATTCACAATTCTAAGCAATGTTTCCCTGCAAGGCTGGCTGGAGAGGCTTGAACCAGACCTTAAGCTCTGAACACCACATCTTGAATCTGAGACCTCCAGCTAGACTGAGCCTGTGGTTGCTACTGTAATGAAAAGAATATTATTCATAGGGGCAGGCTTCATGGATGCTCTGGAACTGGAGACGGTCGAGCAACCTGGGCCTGGAGGAAGGAAGCCAGCCCCTTGCTGCTTCACTTCTTTCACTAACACACGCACGTCTCAGTGCTGCTTTCTGGAAACAAATCAATGCATGAAGTCTGGTGCTTTTTGAGAGCAAGACTAAAATGAAAAGTGTGTGTGATTTAAAAACTGCAGTGAAATGTGGTTTAGTTTCAGCCTTTGCAGCAGGGTTTCAAAATTCTAGAAGGACTAAAAACCTGATGAAAATAAGTTGAGAAAAATCTCAAGTAGTCACTGTTTCCAGTGCTTGCTCCGTTTGAAGACTGAAGGCTGACTCTGAACTAGTGTCTGTTTGTAGCAATAAAATAATTGATGGGGCAGTTCTGGGATTGCATTTATGAGTGCACACAATTTACATAGGAAAGAGTCTGACTGAAAGCCCTGTGACAGGGCAGGTTAGAGCGGATTACTTGAGGGCAGACAGGAACAGCTAACCTGAGGCTATTAAGGACAGAATGGAAGCAGCTGGGATGGGGCTGCTATAAATCAATTAAAGCCCAGGTTATTTAATTTTAGGCAGCCATGGGTTCTAAATGCCTTCTCTGCTGAAGGGGTAGGGGGAGAGACTGGTAGAGGAGTTTGGAGTGATACCCATCCTGGATAAGAAAAGAATCAGATAAGCCGAGAGAGAGAACAGCTGCATTGCCAGAGACAACAGGGTAGGTGAAGGGCTCCTACCCAAGTAGCCTGAAAGCCTGGCTAGTAGCCAGGGAGGAATGGTATCCCAGCCCAGGCTGACCAGGGGCATAAGCCCCAACACTCTTAGCTGTGGGACAGAAGCATAAATGCTGTCAAGGACAAGTGGGACCTGTGCCACTGCACTTACTGTGAGTTAGTGGAAAGGGATCAGAGGCCTGGGAGTGGGGCTGGTCCTGTCACAAGCCCCCTGAAATGGATAGACTCCTACAGACTTCAGTGGACTTTGGATCAGACCATGAGTGAACTGCAAAAAGCAAGGGAATTAGGTAGATTTCTAAGTCAAATTAATTGTGGTGGTTTTTTGGTTTATTTAAATTGCACTTGTGCCCACTGGAAATAGAACTGGTGTCTGAAAATCTGGGCTGACTGTCAGGTTTTTCCTCACGGAGAAATTAATAGAACTCCCACAGATAATGAAATAGTACAGGATAAGGTGTTTTGAAAACCCTCAGGGTGAGTATACTGACATCTCCTCCGCTTTTGTTGGTTCACATTCTTAGATGTGATATTTACCCATGTATCACTGGAACAGCCTCTTTTGTTCCCCCCCCCCCCCAACTGCATAAAGAGGGGGTCTGATGTTGGCCAATAATGTGTTTTTAGCTATAATTAATACAGAATGAATAGTTTTTTAAGGCTAGAAAGGACCCCTGCCATTTATTCTGACTTCCTCGATTACACAGGGTTTAGATTTCACCCAAT